CAGATTGCTTGTAATTATACAAATAAGAAACAAGAAAAATCATCACATGAAAAACAATAGGGTGTAATATTTGAAAATTGTGAGAAACAAGGACATGCATATGATAGGTGTTTTCAACTATTTTATAAGTTACTCACTCGAGCGCAAAAAGATTAGAAGCAGAAAAAAGCTTGCTAGAAAAGCAGAAACATGAAAGAATAATTTTATTGTTGCATTAGAGGTTAATATGACTGCCAAGATTAAAATATTTGAGAAGCAGGTGATTGAGGCTTTGTCATTTAATTCAAATGCATCATTTAATTTAAGGAAAATCTGAATGATGGCGAGATTACACCGAAGAAGCAAGTTGAAGTTGGTGCAATAATGATCCATGAAAAGTTAAAGACTCAAGAACCATGTGATGCAATATTGGAGATAGATCCACAAAGAGTAGAACGAGAAAGATAAGCAAGGCTCCGTAGTACTTTTTGTTGTTAGAATTTGTAAAGACATTTGTGATGGTGTACATCAATGTTGTTGATGTTGATCTAGTGAGTGCTAAAAGTTAAAAACATCTCAAATTTCTAGCAAAAAAGAAAATGAATATAAAGTATTAAGATGAATCTGACAATGTTACAATAAGTAAAACAACAAATTAAATTATTTTAGAGGGTTCAAACAATCACAATTGTGTTATTGAAAGAATGTCGTTTGATACTGCAAGTACAGCAGCCAATACCACTTTTGGAGAGCCAAAGCACTATGTGAACTGACGTTATTTTCAACCACACATGCAAATTCTAGACTTTAGGCTATTGAAGTGTTTAAGCTGGCAACAGATTTTTGTGCAAACGTAGTGGAGTGTCAATGCTTTTGCGATGGGTAAGGTAAGCAGGTATATGTCAAATCCAGGGAAAGTTCACTGGGAAACAGTGAAATGGATTATGAGATATTTGAAGAGTATCTTGGATTATGGTTTATTGTTTGATGATCTATTTGACAATGCCAAATCCTTGTTTGGTTATGTTGATGCTGACTACATACAGGATCTAGATAAAAGGAGATCTACAACTGGGTACGTGTTTACACTTGGCGGTGGAAGCATTAGTTGGAGATCTACCTTGCAGAAATGCGTAGCTCAATCAACAACAGAAGCTGAATATGTGGCAGCAGCAAAAGCAGCAAAGGAAGCTATTTGGTTAGATAGGCTTATCATGGAAATGGGATTGAAGGAGGGCGTTGTTAATCTTCATTGTGATAGCCAGAGCGCTTTACATTTGGCTGCAAACCAGGTCATGGATAGCAGAGTGAAGCACATCGACATCAAGTATCATTTTATCAGACAAGCAGTGTCTGATAAAACTATTGAGCTAGTCAAGATTGACGGTAAACTCAATCCAGCTGATGCTTTGACCAAAGTTATTTCATTGGAGAGTTTCACGCGACACTGTGCTACCATGCAAGTTATGCATGGAGAGCAAATATAGAATTTGCTAGCATAGTAGCTTGAGTTACCTTTTTACGTTATCACTCTATCATATTATGACTATTGTCTAGTTCTAGTTAACTCTCGTGTAAAGAGGGGACTTGTGTTAGGTTTTTGTTTAGAATTTCCCGCTGAGTAATAATATAGGTTACTGTTTCCTTAACACAATTTAAGCGGAAAATTGTTGAGGTTAACTCCGATTAAGGAGTAACCTCAAGTTAAAGCTATTTATAGCTAGGTGTGTCGCTCGCTTTGGATATAAATATACCCCCAAGGCCAAAGCTTCTTTGAAGCAGTATTGTGTATTCAGTTTAAGTAAAGCTTCTCGTGGACTTAGCCCCTGAGGGTGAACCACGTTATATGATTGTGTCTCGTGTTTCTTGAATGATTCCTCGTTTTTCGTTAAGAGATATTGATGGTCATGATGTTGGGCATCAGAGCACTTCATGGCTTGTGACGTAGAGGTAGATAAATATCCATTCGAGATCCAGACTTTAGTTGGTGTTAAATGAACCAAAATCCCTTGCGGTTGACATTTCTTCTCAAGCATCAACTTGATAAAACCACAACACTCGTTCAAGCGGTTGTGATTAGAGCGAAGTCTTATGATATTCTTGCGTCTAGTGAAATTCTATACTTCTTGGAATTTGTGTTGGACTATGGGGGAGAAAGTATATGCTTGGTTGACTTGGTTGACAATCAAATGAAGAAAGAACTAAAGAATTGACATCAAGCTTTATTTTAAGCATCAATGATAGTTGAAAAGATGAGAATTCCTCCTTGGCGACCTTTGTTGCATTCTCAGATTTGACATGGCAGGAATATTTGACAAAGATTTTCCATAGGAGTATATGAATCCTATCCAAATATTTGACATTTCTTTGGTGGAGTAGCAGCCTACTATGATCTCAATGAATTTGGGGCGGATGCTGCCAAATTGAAAGCTACAAGGAGGCAGCTCCTTGATGAAGCAATTGACTTAAATTGCTTGACTTGGGTTTTTAATCTGTAATGGGTTGAATAAAGACGAATAATCTTTGAAATGTTACATTCTTTGATAAGCTTGTAGCCCGCCGAGAAGGGTTGCTCAAGGGTTGAGAAAGTTTCAACCCTATCAATTTCAAAGTGTCATCCATGGACTACATGTGATGCTAAACTAGAGATGGTAGCGGTTATGACTGAAAAGCAACCCAAAAATTATGGGGTCGCTGAATTGCATGAAGAGGAAGATTTTTACATAGATGATACCATCCATGAATAGATTTGTACATAGACCTCAACTTTGACATTTACTGAGAGAATGAGAAACTATCATGGTAAATGACAAGTGTTTTATTTACTTCTAAAAAAAAAAATTACCAATTTTAGAATGTGTATATCCATTGCTATTCATAACACTGGTCCAATCATGTTAAACCATGCTTGTAAACAGATTACCTGAGACAGTTAGGATACTCCAGTTGCAGTATGGCATATTTGCCACAGTGATGTTATTGGGGCTAGCCCCATTTGGTAGAATCTATCCATCCTTTTTAGATTGCTTCCTATTTACTTTCATGGTGTAGAAAGTTCTAATTATGTTCCGGTCAATAGGAGGGAGTTTTGATCACGATTCCAGAACCCTCCATAAGAAGGAAAAAAAGTGGAGAAAAAATAAAATCCAACGGAACCCAGCCCACCCCACCGTCAAAGGGAAAAGACCAGGAACTAATGCCCCCGTAATAAATTTATATCCTCACGAAGGCTTCTGTATAATCTCTTGCCTGTAAATCAGAAGATCCAGTGACAATTGGGGTCTCCAATGAGCATCTCCTATGACAGAGTATTTCTAGCAATGCGCGCTGTATGGATGTGTGAATGGATGAATCAACGGGTAGGATGGGGCTAGCCCCAATATCACAAAACACATTATAATGTGTTTTGTGATGAGAAAAGTGCGACAGTTTGGCCCTCGTTATAGTCCAGCGGAATGCCCCAAAAGTAGCGCGTCGTCCATAGAAAGGTAAGTCTGCGTTACGTGGGCTTCATTTGTTCGTGAAACTCGACGAAGAGGGAATTCGTGAAGGCACCGAAGGCGATGATTGTTGAAGCAGGAAGTCACCAAACTCTCGGAGACGCATTTGGTAAAAAAAAGAGTGACTTGTAGACGATCGTCGCAGAGCTTCTTTCTTAGCCTCTGTTTCAGACAAGAAGGTGCGGTTCTTGTGAGCTTAGGGTTACGACGTTGACGCTTTCTGGATTCATTTCAGTTGAAAGGGTTGGCAAGCTCGAGACAGCGATGTGGAAGGCAAAAGGCAGGATGGATCGATTGTTCGATCAAGCGCATCTTCCCATTTCGAGGGCGAGCACATCCCCACTTTCACGGACATCTGCGTATCACAGGACGAGCTCGTCAGTGCTCAGTCAATGACTGACCACGTACGCAGAACATGGAGGAGGGAAAAACCTGATAAAGAAGCGTGCAACTCGTAAATGCTGCTGAACAGCACTTATACTTGGTGTGGACCGGATGTCGTGTCTGAAAGAGTCATGCCATCGGCCGACTCTGTGTGTCGTCAGGCTTGAGAGGTTGTCGAGAGCTCGAGGTATTTCGCCCGAGCCACACCTCGCCCACTCTTTGAAATTTTGGAGGTGTGGCATGAGAATGAAAAGACTCTTGGATCAGAACATCTGATCCAATCGAATCGACGACCTCGCCCTCACTGATAATGTACTGGGTGGGGGGCGGGGGGTCTCTGATTTCCAGGAAAGATCAAACATCCATCAATCAAAGAGGATACTGAAAAGCTACACTGATGAGTCCGTTACAAACGACACACACCATTCAAAGGAGTGGGGCGGATTTCTCATCACCTCGACGATCTTGCAGGACGATAAGGTTTTACTGTCGACACATAAAATCTTCGATGGGCGTTACGAGAGACTTTTTGGTTGAAAATGCGCTGGTATCCACTCCTCTTCGCCCAACAAAAGCCTTTCGTTTCGGCAAATTCAGGGTAGCGCTTTCAGCTGGGTATCACCTGGATGCTCAGCCACCTGCCATTGTGAGGACGGTCTGAGATCCTCACTTGGCTTCTTGGCCACCTACCAAGTCTGTTCAGGGTTTCCGTCCTACAAATTTGGACTTCCGTGCATGCATCTTATCTTCTCACCTTTATCGTTACTTACCGAATTGCACATTTTCACTTGGGCCAATTCGAAGTTGGTGTGTGGATTCACGAAGCGACAGGCCTTCTTTCATGCTGTACAATAAGGCACGCCGAAGTCGACTCCAGTTATGAACCTTTCTGACGAAGGATCTAAAGCCCGGAAGGCGGAAGGGCTGACTGTTCAAATGCACTTGTTCGTGGGTCATGGGGCCCCTTTCCAGGAGGATTGCGTTCCCTCCTGATAGGAGGGCATGCTGCTGTCACGCAATACACTCTGATAGGGAAGGAATATGATACCGTAGTCAAGAGTCCTAATTCATACAGAACAATCGACCTCGTGCAGTGCAGAATGCAAGAGGGCACACGGCCACGGCAGCATGAAACCTTCGAATCGTATTACAGTTTGGATCGATTTATTGATTAGACAGGTGTCAACAATGGTTTTCCAGAAAAGTGAGCAACTAGATTTTCAACCACAAGATTCGCCATGGCGTTTCTAGTTTCATATGTGGCACTTCCCACGTGTGGTTGAACCACAACATTTGCCATATTGAGTAGTTCCTTCGGCACTTCGGGTTCATTTACAAAGACGTCCAACCCGGCTCCAGCCACTCTCTTTTCCACCAGCGCTTTGACAAGCTCGGCTTCATCTATAACTGGCCCTCTGGCTATGTTCACCACGAAACCCGTAGGTCCTAGTGCATCCAGAACTTCCCGATTAATTATTTTCGTCGTTGCCTTCTCCAGTGCACAAGCCACTACGAGAATATCCGAGTTTCGGGCAAGCTCCACCACGCTGTTGTAATAATTGTATTCTGGATATTGTGGCTTCTTAGATCTGGAGTAGTAACTTATCGGGCACCCAAAACCCTCAAGCCTTTTACCTATGGCAGCTCCAATTCGTCCAAGGCCAACTACACCGACTCGCTTTCCACTCACCTGGAGACAATTTCACAGAGTAGTCTTGAACCAGTTAGCTTCGGTGGTAAATACCAAGATGACTGTCGACTGTAACTGGCTTCAGGGGTTTATGCTGCTCTATGAACCCTCAGTGCTTCTTTCAGAAGGTAAACAGTGCATGACACAACAGTGGTAGTCGTGATCCGCCATGTTCAATAAATCGAAGGCAACTGACTGCTCATGTCTTTGGAGATGTGGATTGCTTGATCTCATTCTCATTCACATTCCTTTCGTCGAGTTTTCGTCCATCAGAAGGACGTAACTAACACTTCAAGGCTAGGTTTTGAATGATGAAAAAGCTAGGTCAGAATTACATCAAGGCATGGACGCTAACGACGATTAGAAAATGCACCGAAGTCCTGCAGGCAGAGGTTACCTGCATTAACAAACACAGTACCAAACGCAGTACGCGTGAGTAGATAACACAAGGGAAACCGCACACGCGAAGTTTGACGGGAGCCGATCGTGGCTTTGACACATGACATTCCTCTGATGGATCACATTGCTAATAATCACATATCCAACTTTGGAATTATGTTGTATATGCGAAAGTCCTGGTAGTAGAAGGAAAGTAGTGTAACAAAAGCTTTCACATGAAAGCATACGGGCACAGAGGGGACCCAATGCATTATTTGTGTAGTACTTTCAAATAGAAACGGTGATGAAACCTGACATAATGTACTCTATTCCCCACTTGACTTTCGATTGCGTGTCATCTCTGCCCATGTGGTAACGGTTTCCAGACAGCCTTCGTACTACACTCTAGGAAGGCAGTTGTTTCTTCAGGTTCTCCATCTACCTTGAGTCTCTGTACCACCACCCACTCTTGTGTACTACTGTGCACAGCTCTGATGTAATGGTTATTACATCTTTTAGTACATCCTTACCACATGCACTCTCACCTATGACGACCTTTCATGGAAATGGTTTCAGATACAGACCCGATGCAGGCTTAACAGATAGAAAACACCACTCGAGGATGAGCGAGAAGTGTCATAAGAGAAGAAGGATCTGCAAGAGACCACATGGTCCGTACATGCAGTAGCACCAGTCGTGCGCAAGAAAAGAGTGGAGGAGCGGAAGTAGGAGTCAACAAGATAGTTGAGACATAAGGAAAAAAAATTTGTTTATTCTTCTCCTTGTACAAGGAGAAGAATGGACAGGGATTAGGTGGCGGGTAGATAGTGATTCGTGAGTATGAACGATGATGTCTAAAGCAGGGACACTGGTGTGGAAGTACCGACATTCTTCCGTCCAGTATGTCAGGTGAACGAAGTCGCTAGAGCATGAGTTTCGAACTAAAATTAGGAGGCCAATGATGTAAAATGTGTCAAATGCCTTCATCGTCTGTATGTAGGACTATCACAGACGTGATGTGGTGGTGTTTCTCTCTAATCTACATTCTCAATCTCCAAGTTGCACTTTCTTTCGTTTCTTCAATATGGCAGCTCTTTGTACTCTAAAATTTCCATTTGAAAAACCTGCATCTTTATAATGCAACATATCTCCAAAAATTGGAAACTAATATTACTCCCCGGAATTCATGTGAACACGACAGGAGGGCAAGACATGCTGGCTAAGCAGCAATACATACGATCGGAAGACATAAACAATCCGATTTAACACGATTGACCCACAGACGTTACTCAAAAGTTCGAATTTTCAGCAGTACACAAGACTGGCGAAAGGAAAAATACACGTAGTTCTAGACCGCTTCATAGCAGACGGCAAAATATATGGAAGAACTTGCTGCCCAACAAGCATCATTGCTAGTTGAGGGGTACCACGTCTTCTAGCTCCACTTCATCCACCAGACTCCCTACTCGTGAAGTCACTCATCTTTGCCGCAACGTGCCAAGGAAAGTATGGAAAGACGAAGAAAAGTAAAGATATGGCAGAGGGAAGAACCACCACGGACATTACGCCCTTGATTGACACTGCCACTAGTAAGGATCGAGAGAACCCAAATGATGAACTGATCACAAGATCCATATGATCATCTTTGAAGTACTACTGTTGTTAACACGTTCGTCCTTTCTAAGTTCCACCCAGAACATATCAGTATTTTGTTCAAAGAGGTGCAGATGCTTTCTGTGCATTTTAAGAGGTTTTTCTAGAACCTCCTCCCGTGGCCTAAGCCAAGATGTTTTGCCATTTTAGGAGCGAGGTAATAGAACTATGGAGGGGCTTGTCCACTTTGCAGCTGAGACCAAGCAAGGTCAAAGGGAGTTTGGATCCAATTGGAGTTAATTTCCAGCGACATCTATTCAGTTAATCAAATTTGAGCTACTTCATCTCGGCTACAATTGTAAGACCCTCAGAAAAACGAATGAGGTTGACCCTAATACCGTGTCAACGAAGTTCCTCTTACTCCAAACGATGTTATTTCTGAGACATAAAAGGATGCTGAGTGCCTACGACTCAGAGCTGATATGTCAAATTATCGCTCAGTGTAGTGACAGAAACTGAAATATGTGGAAAACGTAAATCATCCACATGATCGTAGAGTGATTACCATGATCACGTAGGTTCTTGGCAACTTCAGTACTCAAGCTCACAGGGAACCCACGGCTGTACATGCACCGACCACCTGTTCGGTGCATGTAGATAAATTCAAGGTCCAGATAGCTTGAATAATGCAGCTTAATTCAGTTCCTCGTCTTCAAACGAGTTAAGCGGAAACTCTAGGGAGACTTGCGCTGACTGGCTATTACATGATCACGGTGATTTCACAGCCAACCTGTAATGGTTCTTTTTTATGTCACATTATACTCACAACGGCAAGCATTGCACAAATGCTATGACCATACAAGCAAGACGAGAGGTCGGCTAGACCTTGACACAAATGCATGATCTCCGCCGTCACCAAGACCAGAGGTTTAAGCTGTTCGACTTTTCAGAATCGAGGGCAATGCCCATGTGCAGCGATATCAATCGATCATTTTGTGAGACTTCGGCCAGCGTAATTTCATGAAATTTTCGAGAAGGCGCAAATACTCGAAGAGAAAACTGTTCAGAGGACTCGGACTGAGAAGAAGCTCAGACACCAGGTTGTGGACACGCAGGTCGTCAATCCAACGCTGGCACCTGTACAATTGAGCATACTGCGACATACATACCTTATTGGTTACGGGGTAGTCGCCCTCCTTGGGCCACCTTCCGTCACAGACGTACTGATGAGCGGCGGGAATCTGACGCATGCATGCCAGCAGCAACGCCAGGGCAGTGTCGGCAGTACAATCAGTGAGCACATCAGGAGTATTCGTCACCGACACCCCACGTTCCTTACAGAGAGAGACGTCCACCTTGTCGAGCCCCACGGTGTTGCTCGACACGATCTCCACATTCGGGAGCTTGTCCAGCAGCTCTTGGTTCACCCACGGCCTCACGCCCGTGACCACTCCTCGAATCGACGCCCCCTTTTCGGCCAAGAACGCCGCGGGATCCGCCTGCTCCCAAATGAACAAGTTCTCGAACTTGGAATGCAAATCCTCGGCCGCGCGCGGCTCCAGCGGCAGGCTCTGCAAATGCAGCACCACGGGCTTCGTCGCCATGGCCGAGCAGCGCAGCGCAGCTGCAGCGCGAGTCGATGGCGCTGCCTTGGCCGACTCCCCGCGCCCCACCAGATGCTGACGCGCTCGCAGATTGAGTGCGCTCATGGCACTTGGGCTCGCTCGCTCTGTCTCATCGTCTCCATTCTCGCCTTCTTCTTCGACCCCCAGCCTCTCAATCTCCTCTTCATCTCGAATCCTCTCGTATTAGGACGCGTTTTAGCGCCCTGTAAGCTGGATTAGCTTTCCATTAGCCTTCTTGACTGGCTGGTAGCGTGGACGCGGGTTCTCCCCGGTCACGTACAGCGCAGAGGTGACTGGACGGTCTCCCTCCATTCCATTCCGATCAAGGTGGACATCGAGTCCACTCCTTGGTCCTGGTTTTCCATCTCTAGACTGTGTGTATCGAAAGCACGGTCAATTATTGGTGCACATGTCAATTCGAAGTTACAGATTTAATTATATTCAGTCATTCCTTCTATAATTTTACTTTCTCATCTACCAAAATCCCCCCTCCAAAATAGTCCTTTTTTCCAAGGAAAAAGTGACAACTCTTCATATTTACAACATTTTGATAAGAAATATCGCTTCTTCGAGTGTTTCGAATTTTCTTTGTCTTAATATCTTTCACTGTACACCTTGAATGGCATGCACCTCATAATTTAACTCAAACAATTTCAATTAAGTATTTTCACTCAAATGTAAATTTAACGGTTCTCACCCAAGATGCATGTAATAGATCGCATCGGATCAATATACTTCCTGTTCATTCCAATAGAGTTTCATTGAACTTCTTAGCATCATCTATTGGATGTCAGACGCGAGTTATAATCTCGGGTGAGCGATACACTTCAATTTTTTCACAAGTTTATTTTTTTTTATTATTATATCTTCGAAATTTCATCTAGATTTGGATTTTTATATTTCGAAATGACAAGGATATATAAGAATTTTACACAGGTCTTGAATAATCATCAATAAAACACATATTACAATCTTCCTCACTCGTATTGAATAAAATATAGATATCAACACAACATTACAGACATAATCGAAAGTCTACTGTTAAATGAGTTTCAACATTAAAGTCAATTTATGAATGTTTATTTAGTACATAATTCTCATTGAATCCAAAACGAGTCGAATGCAATGTAATTTTAAGTACTTTTCTTGAAATATAGGCATGTTATTTCTTGTCTGACACACAACACAAAATTTAATCGAAATATCTTGATCATACCCAAATTGTTGACACGGCTAGTAAATACTACTTGTTTAGATTTAGTTCACGTAGAGTTGACACTGCTTTTACATAGTTCACCTTGCATGGACCGAGTTCACAGAGAATTGAAAATGGAAGTACATAGTTAGTCTCATTAATGATAAGTACAAGAGAACACATGAAGGTTTTTTTGAGATACCTAAGTTTGATCAAGGATGGTTAAGCTCTCTTAAAATTGTAAAGCTAACTGGTCTGACTAACTAGAATTAACAAAACTTGAGTTGACTGTAGATGATCTTATAAAATATGAACTAAACTTCAATGACATAAAAAATGAATCTCATTATAAATTCTCATGTGTCTATTTCACTTTAAGATGATGGTCTAAATTACATCATCAACTACTTTTTACTGATCATTCCTATGCATGTAAGATATCAAAAGATGTCGAATCATTTTTCATGTCAATTACTTTCACATCTCTCATGATGTGTTCTACGCTTTGTTCACATTTATCAATATGCTTATCAACATCAAACCGTCTTCAAGGAATTCACTCCTTTTCCTTTATAGATTTTGATATTATCTTCATCAAACTTCGTCAGTTTCATATGTAGTAAGAATTAAACAACTTTTGATATATTTATATGATTCGAGAAATGCAAAGCCCATACTGTTGGTATTATAGAGTATAGTTATCATGGAGCAAGTAGTAATCTTTTTTCAAATTGCTTGTTGATGAATTTTTGACTAGATTTTACTTTGCTTACATACTAAACAATGCTTGCATTATCAGATCACACATGTGACATGAGTATCAAAGTGTTTTTCTACCAGCGTGAAGATAAGTACTCCATGTGTATATCTCATGGACGCTCTTAAACCTTTTGACAATCTGGCTCAATTTTCGTGATGAATTGCAAAACATCACATCCACACATGAATTACAAGCTTCACCCCAATGAAGTCAAATTCGATTAGCTTATATCGATGAGGGTACAATATCGATATGTTTATGATAACTTTTCTAATTTTTTCAGAAAAATATTTCACATATTCTAGCTAAAACTAGTCAAATCAATTAAATTAATCAAAAATTTTAAAAAAGTAAGGTCATGTGATATTTCTCTAATAGAAGAATGTGAATACTTCCTTAAAAATGCAAGGTGATATGCATAACAAACTTCTCAGTTTAATGCAGATTTACATTTTGTTCGGAGATATCAACAGTGTGATTATAGATCTTTCATACAGAAGTGTACATGTTTATAAGTATTATACATCTCATGCCCGAAATTAATTTGAACTAATAACATTACTTACGTTCTCGATGGAAAAAAATGAGTAAAAGAGAACAAATGTGTGAGTACATGCCTAATTGAAGATTTAAGTTTGGAGTTAAATGAATACACAAAAAGCTACTGCATGAGTGATACTATATACAAGAGGAATATAATTCATTATAGAACGTGGCATAGAACGATTACGTATGATGTTTTGAAATTTTCTCTACGTGGAAGAACCATCAAAGCATTCACCGTTATTCGGTGGCTATAGGGTCGATCATGCAGTATGCAATCCCGTTGACCTCCATGGTTGGGATGTGATAGCTGAAGAACTAGTGGTTTCCCACCATAATGCTCTTGCTATCCATCACATTCCTTCGCTTTCCTCCATAAATGTGTTGGAACCTTTTTCTTCAATATGTCACTCTTCATTCAATTTGGTGAATCGGAGGCATAGTCATAGTAGATTCAAGATTCGACAGGAGCTTGCAGGATTCCGGCATTCTTCTAGTCAAGAAAATAACGCGCTTCGACACTCCTCGGAGGGAAACCTGTCGACGGTCCATCCACGCACTTGCTCGCCAGGAACGTACTCCTCGCACCCCGGAAGAAGCCACATCGAAAGGCGAGGAGGAAGACGAAATCGAGGTGAAGGACAGGAGACGAAATCACGCGCGCGCTTCTTCATGTGGCTGCCCTGTCGAGGTCCTTTGACATCGTCCGGCGGTCTGGCCGCGACGAAGAGGCTCTCTGGTGTGCTTCTCTGCCAGAACGCTGATCCCCGGAGAACAATGAGTTGCAATTCATAATTCCTGACTTCAGGTCGGAGGTCAGTTGCAAGCTAATCCATGCTGACTGTCAATCTTATTCCAAGATCGCAACGGACGGATAAGTCGCTGCATGCGCGTGGTGCGGGACGACCCCACGGCGATTTAGCTGTCAATCCGGTACAGAGCAATTTCTGTTTCGGCGTTAGGTTTTACAAATGATTAATGAACTTCCACATTTGGGACGGGCTCCGACACGACCCGATAAGCACGTCGTGTGCAATTGCTGCAGGTAGGAACCACATTCTGAGAGATTTTGGGTACTCAAGGAAACCATTCCGGAAGACCTTGCTTGCATTAATCGGAGGCTTTAGCCCTGCCGGCACGCCACAGAAGGAATCATAGCACGCGAACGAGGTGAAACGATTGTAATCAATCTGTTTTCATATGCCGGAAAGACATAAACCCCGTGCACGCGTTCATCATAAACCCCGAGATTGCTCGGGCAGTACGAAGTGGCTAAAGCAAACACACGCCTATCTCGACAGTACACACAGTATTTTTGCTCTTTGCTGAAAATCTGCTGCAATACAATCAGCGGAATAATGGATGTACCCGGCATCCGGAAACCAGATGCACACTTAGAACCAACAACCACTGACAGCTGCATGCGCCATTCAAGCCAGCTGTGCATGGCAACGCGACGAGGCGAAGGCGTGTCTACAATCTGAACAGAAGCTGGTTTACAGTTTGGCGGTGATTTCGTATATCCAGCCTTCGTACACACCGCTCACAACCGGCTTTCTTGTGCCGGGAACCTCCTTAATGTCCAAATCGAGTTTGGCAGCTTCCACGCAAACAGCTGTATCCATGCTGAACACATAACATGCCAAACATCACCTCTCGAGCCTCTGTAGCCTTATTTTCAGAGCTCCTACGCAGGCAACAAGAAATCGATTCAAAAAGGCCCAAAACTCCCGCCGGAAACACAATCATTACGATTATACCTTCTCCAGCGAGAGACATATCCGAGGAGTGCAGCAGAACCTGGTTTCTGTTGATTCAGTAATCGTCGAATGGTAATGAAAAGGAGAGGTACATAGCTGCGCTGATAGCGTGACTCTCGACGACGGTCAAGGACGATCACATGACACATGACAAACCAAAATTGGCCCCTGGCAAGTGTGACCCAATTTGCAAGTTTCACGAGAGAGGTAGATACAAATACTCATCTAGAGGAAAATGATGAAAGGATATAAATGTCAGCACCCATGACGAGATCGAAGCCTTGAGGGTGCTTTTCTAAAATGGAATCGAGATGTTCGTCCACGCTCCAGTCTAACTTCTGCACCTCCGCGCCTGCGCATTGCCCAATTCAGCTTTAAGAATCGCAACGACCATCCATGACCCTAACCAGGAATCAGATCCAGGTCCCTGCTAGTTGGACCTCACTCAAGAGACTGTGCACTTACTGGAGACTGGCAGAGCTCCTGTGGATACTTGGTGATCTACATTCATCTGCATCACCTAAGACACCGAGCGTACCAACCAACAGTCAGGAGGAGATTATGAAAGTTGATCGGTCATCCCTACATATGAGAAGACGCTGTATATGGAGACACTTCTACAAGTACAATCCGAGAGCCGCCTTCAACTGCAAGGAAGAGAGACAGGATGGACACCTGGGAACACTTGAAATACATGGAATCTCGAGGCCTGGCAGAACAAATACAAGGCAAGGCAGAGCAACGGATGCAGAGCGAGGCATAGCACTGTGCTGAATGAATCGACAGCAGTATCACACAGTGTAAAAATCCTGAGCTGCACAAAGCATGTCACAGGTTGGTTCAGCAGAGTGCCAGATACACTATGAAGACCTTTGTGCAATATACCTTCAATATAGTGTCGTTGTAGTCTGTGATGACCACATGTTCACAAAGTCGTGCGCAAAGCAGCCCCGTCAGACCTGTCACGGCACGTATCAGGATTTGAACCTAACCACAGCAACTAATCTGACTCACAAATGCCACTGAGTAGAGCAGGGCAGAGGAAGCCTGGCTGGGCTGGTTCGAGGGCAACAAATGACTTTCAAAGCCACTGATTGCTTTGACATGCTAAGGAATCAGACCTCAAATTCACATGAACACTATGTCACCAGCCTCAAGTTATTGAAGACTTGAGGAAACACGACTCACCTAAACCGGCACCGAGTTCTATCACTGATAAGCCCTTCATCTGACTTCGTCTCTGAAGCAGGTACTCAGCAAGCAGTTCGGCTCCAGGCCATACGAGCTGTCCTGTGAGGTCATAATCGGCTGTTTCCAACAAGGTGAGTCCACTGCACTATGTTCAGAGAAGTACTTCCTACTCTCGTTAAGAATGAAAGCCTAGCGGTTCTCAGCTCGCCATGTCAACCTCATTTGCGCTGACCTCAGGCTGCGTCACCACGAAACAAACACCCGAATGACATCGCAATTGACCAACAGGAGGTTGAGAACTTACTGAGTGAAGACTGTAAACAGTACAACTCGATCGATTCTGTGTCAAAAGTGAACGTTTGAAGCTGGTAGCTGCACCCAAGAACCGATTGTGACAGTGAACATCTCTGTAACACATTGATACTTCATCAAAGGTGTGGAAATTGATCACACCGTTTTACAGAGACAGATTCATGGACCCCAAAATCTAGCCAGCCCCGTCGAAGAAATTATCAGAATCAGTAGGTTTAAAAACATGTCCTTGAGAAGGCCAAAAACAAACAAGGGCTTAGAGCGGAGCAATCGTCAGGAGCATTCATGGGATGGAGAGGAGGTACTGATCTAAACTTGACTCATGATAGATTTCACTTCTTCCCTCTACTACACAGTAAACGATAGAAACAAATCCTTCGCTGACGCATTTCTAAACGATGAGCTGAATTTCCAGGAGCGAGTCTGAGCGGAAATTATGAATCGTTCTTACGTTCACCATACTTCTCATTCAGGAAGAAGCTCGCGTCCAGTGACACCTCATCATCCGAATCGAGCCCACTGGTGGCAGCAAGGACGCTCAAACGCTGGTCTGCTTCCATCTTCGCCGCTCGCGTCGAACAGTCAAATTCTTCTCTTGCTGCAGCAATTTACCGCGCCCTCTTTCCAATCCGATCGCTGCCTGCCCCGCAAAATGCAACTTCCTCCCTCCCGCGGTTGCAGCGTGCAAGCCCTCGCGGATCGTCAGCTTCCGCCGCCGGGCCTCGAAATTTCCACGACAATGACAGTCTCCGCTTCGATCTTCAGCTCCTTCCTGATTAAGATTCCAACCGTTCCCCTTCCCCTTCCCCTCCCCGTCTGCATCTTCTTCTGTAGGGCGCCAGTTTCGATATCATTTTCGTCTCTTGGAGCTTGCGCTCTTTTGCGTCCTATGTAGAACCTCACTTCACGGCGCATTCAGTTCGATGGACAAATTCTCCAAAATCGGTGTGCTGACTACGCCAGACGGCCGACACCGCATCATCGACATGAATTTCAGTCTTCATGCATCCGATAAGGAATTTGAACTTATATCGAATGACAATAGGATTTTTTGTTTTTGCCGTTCTTTTTATGTACTTTCCCGCTCTCATAGTTTGTGGTCAGAGGACTACATTCCCTGCTAACGCATTGTGCTTCCTCTCTAGGAGTCTAGGGCACGCATATAACGAGGTCATGAATAATGATCTCACTTCTTTACTCCTTGTATACTACTTTCAAGTATTATTCAACACTTTCATTCATTACGTGTGCACAATATTTCACTTCCAGTCATGTCCTCATGGAGGATGAGAATGGAAGAAGCAGTGAACGCATGAGCAGTAGACGGATAATTTTGCAGAAGAAGGTTTTTTGTTCATTGTATACACACACAAGTACCAAAATTTATTGCTCATTCATCGTTCTGCTTAGATAATGATTTCCACATCTCATGTCTCAACATCTACAAAGTAGATGTTATACCTTACAGAATTGATAAATTTATTTGCATGCTTCAATTTCAGGCAAAAACTTTCAGGTGTGGACAAATTTCATCTCCGTTGAGAGAAAAGAGATCCACGTATGTGAGAGGTACGTACAATGGTTTAGATTAGTATTCATATCACAGGTGCTATTCGTTAATATTCGCAAAAAACAAATCACTTTTCCGTACTTCTTGGAGGACATGTTATTTCACGTGATGGCACACAAACATAATTTCGTCTACGTGGTAATATGCGACAAACTGCAACAATACCCTGCGGTTGGTTGATCTTTTCATCCGAAAGACACATTTCCTTCTGATAATTGAGAAAGTATGTTCTTTCATTCTTCCTCACGTGAACGAGCAATAATTATTTCGGCTTCGGCCTACTTTCACACTTTCCGACATTCAGATATTAAGAGATTTGAGACTTTTGCTTCTTCGTTTTGTATCGTACGTTGAGGATATTTTTGAACTTTTTCATGTTGCAATTTAAGCAGTTACATCACAAATAGACACTACCTTGCATACTGTGCGGGAGTTTGAGGCAAGAATGTTCGATATTTCACGTTTAACAACTCTTTGTTTCGTGCTGAAAGTGTGACGTAAGCTTCCATTTCAATTTCCCTGCTTACAGTGGCTAAAGAGCACAAGGCACTGACTTTTCTTTGAACACCCCAGTCACATGCCGAAGTTGAACCCCACACTGCATATCGTCCAAAATTGCCGCGCTTGGTGTAGCCACTGAGCGTTGACGACGAATCTTCGGCGCATTCTCAGAAGACCATCGTCAACTCCGAATGTGAGAAAGTGGCTTACTCCCATTCCATCAACTGCTCCCGATGTCATTTTGCTGTTCTATTCGTATCCCTACTCTCTCCTACCTAAACCTTTCGTTGGCGTTTAATTCCACCCAGTCTTAACAGCATCCACCTCCATAGGTTCACTTGACGCTTTCTGCACATAAGAGGACCAGATATGTCACGATTTTTAGATGACATTGACTTCATTTTCCACCATAGCCAACTCAATTGCCACAATGCACGTACGTAAAGATTCATTCAGCTGTATTCTCACCTTTTCACTGGCTTCCAGCTTGCTCAACCGACTGAACATATTTCCGTACATCTTCGCTTCCTTCTTATTTTGCTCTATTTGCTTTTGTCTCAACACTTTGTATTCCGAGCGAATTTCCCTGCACATGTGCGGGACGAGAAAAAGCTTGAGCCTAGGTCTCGAAAATTTTCTTTTTTTAACTCACATGCTTCCAGGCTATCGACAAGATATCAGAAATATACAGAACTCAGAGAAATGATTTCTGACATTTGTTCTACCGAGGTTGCAAATTTTCCTTCACAATATCAAAGTCAAAAAGCCTGACCCACTTTAACTAGTGCAAATGCAGACACAGGCAGAAGAAACTTACCTGTTTGTAGGATCTATCTCCAAAGCCTTTTTAATGTCCAGTTCTGCCAAGTCCAAATCAGCGGTCCCTATGTAAGCCTGGGCCCTCCTGAACAAAGCTTTGACACTCTGAGATTCGACCTCCAGAACCTGCAGTACAATTGACGTGCACGGAAATTAGGCGTTTAGAATAATTCAGACTCAACGTCAACAAGCCAATGGAGATTTGGAGATTTGGAGAACTGAAGATGCTTCATATTAATTTGTGACAAACTCACCTTGGTGGCAAGCTTAATGACTTCCTTATAGTCCTTCACTTTCAGTTTGCAAGCGGCATTGTTCAAGTTACATGAGACCTTCAAGACCTTGCATTTCTTCTTCTGTTCATCATCAAAACCGCTCTCGTACTCGATGAGCTTGGATGCCTGCACAGAGCAAAGAGGACACTTTGAGTTGCTTCCTAGATTTCTCCTGCATTTCTCAATGTGCATATCCCAAGACTCCAATAAATTCAACTTCCAATACAAGGATAAGGCCAAAAATGTACAGATAGGGCGAATAGTGCTTCTTACCTTCTCATACTTTTTACAGGCTCGTGTGTATTTAGCAGATTTGAAGAGGGCATTTCCATCCTCTTTCAATTTAATCGCAGTTTCTATCTTTTCCGGAGCACTCATGTCCCATGATTCTTTCTCCTGCGTATCGAACAAATTTGAGGATAACATTATTGTCCAGAAAACCATTCATCGATAAGTAAACCCTTCGCAAGATATATCCTACTGCTAACTTTTCCCAGTGCAATGTACCTCACAGTGCTCTCATTCTCTTCGAGCAGTACCAGCAGCACAGTGCTGCTCGAAGCAAGAGAACAAGTAAGGTATGAAGGAACAACGAAATGAATTTTGGTGTGGAATTCACATTCCATATCGCAAGGAGAATATTCCACCGAACACGACGACGGTCTGGCACTTGCAAGGATTACTCAAGCACTTCAACTTAAAAAATATAAGTTGTAAAGTTTGTTGGCACAAAAGACATTATTGAAATAACTAGCACAGTTTCTATAACAGGGAAAAAATCATGTAACTCGTTCCGACTACAGAAGGACGTTTGGGATTGATGTCGTTCATTCTGACAACCATGCCGCATGTAAGCATATTATGGACAATGGCTCGTTCTCGAAGAACTCAGTGTGCAACTATACCATTAACTGCACATTAATTTATAGGTTACTTGCAATTTTGCATCTAAATGGAAAAGAGCAATGACTCCCTTGTGCTTCAAGCTCTACACGGATACTCCAAAATATCTTTCGCGGAGAAAGATTTCACGATATGAAGTACATAAGAAGGAGTTGCAAATATGAAAAAACGGCTGAGACAGGATTCCGGATCCGACCCTGAAAAGTGAAAAAGATCGGCCACATTACCTTAATAAAAGACACGACTTCAACGTCGTAAATGAGGGTCGAGTTGGGGGGAACTACGGCAAGATCTCTCTTCGTCTCAGAATCGCCAAATCCATAGTCAGCGGAAATGGTAATCACAGCTCTTTCTCCTTTCTTCATCGTAGCCACCGCCTTGTCCAGACCGGGGACAACTTGCTCTGCACAATTTGAATAAAACTCAGATAGTTCAATGGAGTGCAAGTAAGGTCAACTTCTAGGTCACGCAGTCAGAGATACGTAGCTAACACTGACGTATCTTGTAGTAACAAGATCATACCTTCATCTGTGACAAATTCGAATAGGTCCTCGTCATCTTGACCTCTCTTTTCGAAAACGGTACCATCCTCTAGCTTGGCTACATAGCGGACTGCGGCAATTCAGAAAAACAACAATAAAAGCGTTAGGTACATCCAGAGATCGGAGGTTGCAGTGCAGTGCAGTGTCAAATTGTCCAACTGTTAAGAATTGACAATGGGACAGCCAAGGATGACGCATGAATTTTACTCACGTTTCACAACACTGCCATCATTGGGCTTTTCGTACCCATCGCCCGCTTTCACTATCTTCTTCATGACTTTCCTATCATCAGTTACTTCCTCGACAGAATTCCAAGATACCAATTCCAAGTCAATCTCAAGGGACGCATTCGGTGGCACGGCAGCATCGCCGTCTTGAGCCTCTCGACCTTTATCTCCAAATCCATCTGCAAAGTGCGGGGCCACTACTATTCAGAATTCCCATAGACCAACAAAGATTTAGATTTAAACATATTATGAAGGTTTGACCTCGTAAGGGAAGATGCCAAAATCTACCTCGAACCTCTTCATTATATACTTACATTGTGGCTTCACAGAAAGTTGGACCTTCTCTCCTTTCTTCATTAGCTTCACAGCCTTCGTAATCGCCGGGCAGAAGAACCCTGTTGGTCACATTACCAAAATCAGACGACGAAATTAATGCAGCGAGAACAGCCGGTGATACCATTAATTTTATTCTTCAACTGTTATCCTATCTGGCTTACCTTCCTTGAGGACGAATTCCACGCCAGCATCAGCCGATTTCGAGACGATCTTTCCATCTGTAAGTCGTGCTTGGTATTTAACTGCATTCATGTGGGGTTAGATGTCAGGGAACATGAAACGTAAGACCGGCAGGATAAATGAAGATGGAAGACTTAAAACTAAGAATGACAATGCAGGCTACCTTACATACCAGTAACTTCGTCAGGGTCCTTCGGTACCTCCCACTTTTCTCCTTGCTTGATTATCTTCTTGATAATACCACCATCCTTGCAAATGTCATTCACGCTTGCCCAGGAAATCAACTCGACGTCAAATTTAAGAGTAGCATTGGCTGGAATAGTTGGAGGCGAGCCCGCCTCTCCATATGCATACTCTGGAGCTATGGTGAAAATGGCCTGTTCGCCCTTCTTCATGGTCGCAACACCGACGTCCCATCCTTTGATTACCTGACCTGTTGATCTCATCAAACACAGGCCGCTGAGAATACTGCCGGGGATCGCAACCAACGCACGGAATTAGCAGGAACTACAATCTGGAAGGAGGCAATAAGTTATAATGCTCGTACCTTGATCCAGGGTGAACACGAATGGATCTCCCCTGTCCCGGCTCGAGTCAAACTTCGTACCATCCAGTAGAGTACCAGTGTAATGCACTGCAGAAATAGAAAAAAAAAAGTTACGAGGCTTCAGAACAATGCCACCAGAGGCAAGTAAATGTGTAAAATTCAGATCTTACAGGCAAAGACGGAAAGACTGAAAATTTTCAAAAGTACTCTGCCAGAAAAACAAAAACAAAAGGTGACCAGGCTGAAAGCCCAACCTTTAACTTCATCTCCCTTCTCGGGCGTCTCCCATCCGGATCCAGACTTCACGATTAGTTTCTTCAAAGCACCACCCTTGACGAGATCTCTCTCCTCGCCGTCCTTTTGAGGGACATGGGAAGTGACGTCCGCGTCATTATCCATTTCCTCCTCGACCTCCTCGGCGCCGGAAGGAAACTCAAAGTCGTCGTCAGCCATCGGGGCAACCTGAGCTCCTAGAACGGATCGATGAATCGACCGATCAACCAATCGACAACGAAGCGCGGCGGGGGTCGGCGACCTCTCAAGTACGTCGACGAAGAGGATAATAGGTCGCGACTAATTGTCGAAAACCTCGATCAAACGCGCAATTACTAAGAAACGAAAGCGCGGCCGCAGCGGCTTCTTTCTACTCCAACCAACAATGCTTCAGACCTCCGTCAAGTGGCCGCCACTCTGAGCCCGGGGACGAATGAAAAGCAGATTTCCGGCTCGTGCGAGCGAGAGCGCGGGGATTATAGCCGAGGGCACGAGAGCGCCAGAAGGTTCCAGACGTCCGTCTGCGAACATGTCCTTCCACGAATCGGGACGTTGGCCGAAAACACTCCTTCTGTCGCGTTAAGACATCCAGAAACATCTTTGTCGTTTTCCCCGTTTCCGTTACTTCGTTGTACTCGCCGGGTACCCGACTCGGTGCTCTCCCGATTCCCAGGGACCGTGTCATGACCCTCCCCTCCCCTCCCGTCCCGTCCCGTACGTCGTGTCGGTTTCGCCTCGCCGGCATCACGGCGGCAAAGTAAGACTCACGACGGAGTTGGAACGAAACTGCGTGACGCAGAGCAAACCTTCTTTGCTCTTTGCTGGCTTCCTTGGGACCGAGTTTCCCGTGTTCTGAAGAGCACCTATCGAATGATATCCCCTCCGGTCTTCGCAGCAAACATGGCACAATATCATTAACCGTTGATTAATTGTACGCCTCGAGAAAATAATAAAAATTCACCTGATCTATTATAGTATAACTTTTACATGCATGTTGAAAGATAATTAATCATATGCAGTTCACTATGTTAAAATCATTTCGCCCTATCCTTCTAGGTTTGAAAGATTATAGACATATGTATATGATGTACTGTGTATAAATTGCATCACAAAATACTTTATGTCTCACATCAAATATCATAATAAATTGAAATAAATAACCAGAAAATGTAGATAACAATGAAATTAATATTTTAATATGAGGTAGCATCATGATGCAATCTGAAAACTACATATTTGCATATTTTTAACGCCTCTAAATTTGATTCAGCAAATTTTTATTAGATCATATTATACATAATATGAGTATTTGGAAATTGTATATAATCATGCTTGGAAGAAAAAAAATATAAAAAGTAGACTTTTCTAAAATTAATCAATCAACTGCACCTTGGAATATTTATCTCATTTATATGATTATTTTATTTTCCTTAATTTTCTTAATTTTTATAATAAAAATTTTCAAAAAATTATGATGATCGTTAAATATTTCCATCGAGTATTTTAATAAATATTAAATATTTTAATAATATTAAATATGATGATTTTAAATATTTCCATCGAGTCACTTGTCATCGCAACGAGGCTGTTTAATTTGAATATGGATATTTTTCAAAGTACCTAAATTCAATCAGATCACCTCATAGAGCAGATTCACTTATCTTAGAGCCAGCGCTACTATTTCCTGCACCATACACGATCCTTTCTTACAATACACAATGCAAGCGCATTCAGAAATATTGTATAACACTTTTTGACTACATGTTACAGAATGTTCAAGCTCCACACCTGCATCACCAGTACTTCGGCGTTTACTCTGTATGCATATTAATGATCACCACTTACAGCAGCTTGTGCAAGGGGGGCGAAAAATATGAGAAAGCGAGACCGGATTCGATTCTTGACACGTGGAAAGTAATAACAATTTTTACATGTCTTGTTGTCTTGAAAACTATTGCAACAGGAGGTGAATTTAACAACCCCCTAAATTATATAGCATATTAGAGCTTTTGAAGAAATAGCAGATTGATGAAAAGCTATGTCATAGATTATGTTGATTGTGCATTATCACCTCTATCTTCATGAATTCCAGTGCTGTTTTGAATAAAAAAAAGTGTCATTCAATTGGGATGTTATTTATAGCAGATAATTTGAATTAAATCACAGAGAAAAAACTGTTAGAAAATTTAAATGCTGATTATCAGATCTAATAAAATAAAAAAGTGATTGAGTGTTTATAAAAAAATGCCAACTAATATTAGAAAATTGATTGAAAATTTTAGATAGTTGGAATGGAAGTGACATGAACAATAAAGATAGGAAAAAAAGATCTATTAAAATTGACTTGGTTGAACTATTTGTCAAAGAATTTATCATAATCTCATATGATCAAAATATTTGTTGCAAAATGAGTTTATGTTACAAGTAATATTTTACAAATTACATCTCTTATATATTTCATGAGGTAAATTACATGAAAACTGAAAAAAAAATCATTTGAATTTGAAAAATATGTGTGAAATTACAATATACTAAATCTTCATTTTGCGATTGTATTGATTTTCAAAATATAATTGTAGTGATGTACTTAATAAGATATGTCATACTTTTGAGACTTCATAAATAATAGATTGACTTGTAGTATAATGTATGTTTTAAAAGCATTACAACATGAGTCAAATGACAAAACATACTAACGGATTGATGATTTTCAAATTAAACTTTGAGACCCAATCGTGACAAATATCTACCTTATCATGAGTACATTTTTCTAGTAAAAATCAATTGATTAAACTGATAAAAAGTAGTCATAAGTCACACAAAGGTCTGAAAAAATTATTGTATATTCATAAACCGATGTCTTGTCACAATGAAGCAAATATCTAAACGTAAGATTGTGATAATAATAAGTTGTTTAAGATATACTCAAAGATACTATAAGATTGTGGTTGATGCACACCACAATCTCATACATGATTGATGACTCATTCATGACATCTTTTGAGTACAAATTTGCCAAAATTATTAGTGTTACTTGTGATTGTGACAAAATTTTACCTGTACAATATATTTTTTGTTCAACTTCAGACACAATTTCAAATAATTTTCATTTACATCAAAGGATTTTCTTGAATTTATTCCCACGAGTGATATAGCTAATCAAAAAGATGCTACATGACAATGGCAATGATTACGAAGTGTGGATCACATCAATATGGACTGTATTTCTTTCTCTGCAATGTTTTAAAAATTGTTTGTGATTAAAAGATACATACCATTGAAAATTATAGTAACATTTGAGATGTAGCATTCAACTTAAATCAATGAGGTCTTAACTAGAGATGGAGACTTTTTTTACGAACATTCGTTAAGAATATAATAAATGATTCGACTTATTTAACAGCATACACTTGATATAGCAGATGATAAAAGCCCTTACTATTGGTCAAAATGCCAGCAAGACAAAATCATGAAAGAATGAATAAAGGCGGTATGGTTGTACAATGAAAATGTTATTTATTACTCTCTAGAGGAGGAGCATCTACTTTCGTCTTGACAACTTTCGTCAAAGTAGACAATTTTCTCTGCATTAATGTCTTGTACACTCATACATTTGCAGTTTGGATAAACCTACAACATTTGTACCATACAGTGGACGGAAGACTCATCCCATGTACGATTTGGCGGGGTGTTCTCATATTTTGCTGTTCTGCGTGGTGTGCAATTTCGTAAACCCTAAATCCTGTACAGTTATAAGATGTTGTTGGATCTTGTAGCTTCATGTGATCCGAATCTTGTCATTCTGAAAAGCTTGATGAGATATTTCCATAATTGTTGCTATGGTTCTCGGTGTCTCCTGCCTAGTCAGATTCCGCGTCATTTGACCACTACGATTCGTCTTGTGTTTGGACATTTTTCGAATCGCCCAAAATGTACAAGGTATTGCTGTAGTGATCAATAATCGTGAAAAGTCTCGTAATACCCAATTTTAAATTGGCAAAGGTCAAACGATGTCATGTATATCAAGAGATCCATGAATAATCTTTTTGTTCACTGCTTAGGAATCGATCACGGATTTTGTATAATGATAATTACCTTCCCGTAGAAACATCCCTAAAGATTCTTTTTGCTACATTCTTTGAAATCTATTCATTGAATTGAGATTTTGAAACATAATTGCTCGCCCAAAGAAAGAGAAGTCTTGACCAATAGATTTTGATTTACCATTGAGCTTTATAATAATCGTCTATTTATTTCATCGTCTTCGCCATCATCAACTTTCTTTTGGGAACACCGCAAGTGTATTACACCTCCTTACAATCACTGTTGTTCTTCCAATGATGTCAAAAAATTCAAAAAATGAATCCAATAAATAATGAAATACTTTGTCTACAAAATTTAATGATACGCTACACTTTGAAACATTAGAAATACAATTTCCTGCTTAACAGACATATGCATTTGGATGAAATATGGTTTATTCATATAGCGTGTGTTCATCTTAAACCGTTTCTTAGCAAATTTATTCAAACCTAAGGATAATGATAAGTATTAAAAATTTCCATTCATGTTTATTGAAGTCATGGTTCAAATTCATTTCTTCTTGAAATATAAAAATCTATTGTATAAATTATAATCTGAAATCTGGGATACGTGGAAACAAACGTAATAGGCAAACTGTAACACTAGGGTTTTAGAGAGAAGCTCACTCAAAGATAGAAACGTAAACTGTGAAGATGAGAGATACCAACAATGGTTATCCTCTCCCTTATATAGCTCTCACCAACAAGTACAAGGGGATAAGATCTAATCACCACCATCCATCTCACTCCTAGTGGATGGATGACGTGGCGTATAACCCTAACAAGCACACTGATTGCTGACGTGGCGCACCCAACTAACACACTCAGTCTTTACCTACAAGCACACGAATTGCTAATGTGGCATTGTCAACTAACACATCCACTATGTACCTACCAAGTGCGCGGATCGCTGACGTGGCAGCTATGACTAGTGCACTCTAAAGTATCTACATCAATATTTAGAGTAACCTCTACTTTAGTTCTATCCAACTAAAGATGGTTACACAAACAGAGGAAAAAAACATGGTTTAAATCTATTTAATTCTTAAAACAACACGATTTATAATGTGCGCTCGAACTTCGGAACACCTAAGATTATTCAAAGAAAGCTACGCCGACATGGAAAAAGATCAATAAAGCATTTCAAGTGATTTATGATATCATGAGTGAGTTTTGTTTGCAAGTTTTTGTTCAACTTGAAATTACGATTAATGGTTTCTAAACCTTTTATATGCTAAAGCCAACAAATTGAACTTCAACAAAGCAACAAGAAACTAGATTGTACATTGCAATTTTTTTAGCCAAAAAATGTATTTTTGAATGTTGTAATATGATAGATGGGAATTTTCACACACTTAATCACACACACACACATGGATAAAATTTTCATAAAATTATAATAACTATATTGTTAAATTTTGTTCACAACGTATGATATATCTTTAAAGATGTAAAAAAATCCATTTGAAAAGTAAAATTTTGACAAATGTAAGCTGTGGATTA